CCGGCTGGGCTGCGGACGGAGCGGAGTCCCAGCAGGGGGAAGTGCAGTCTCTGCGGGGGAGCGCGGGAGTCGGGACAGACGTAGCGGTACTTTTTTTTGTTTTTTCTCTCTCCCCACAGCGCAAGCTCTGCCTAACCCTACTATAGACTAGGCGAGTTAGGCGGCTGCGAGGCCCCCGTGAGCGCGAGGCCTAAGGCGACCGCCTAACTCGCCTAATTAAAGAGCCGCCTCTGCGAAAAACACATGGTGGCAGTGGAAGTTTGTTTGAGGCTGAGAGTGGTATCGCCACGTCCTTGTGACGCTCACGCTCGGTTCAGACTTGTGTATGGTCACGTGGGATTGACGTACAGCGGGTCTGGGCCGGGCGTACGTCACAATTATCACCCCAATTTTATTGGAAAATGTAAAAGACGGGGTCACGTCAGGTAAACAGACACCAAACATGTCAAGCCGTAAAAATTGCAGGCGCCCGCAAAATCGCAGAAAACGACAACAAAATTGGCCAAAGGCGACGCTTTAAACGCTTTTATTAGTTTAGCGTTATCAGTAATGAATGGCCATAAAATGATGGCTCTCATTCCGACGTTCGCTGCAATATGTAACATGTGCGGCGTAATGGGCGCAATCGCGTTTTAGAACATAGGCACACGCGACGCATGTTTGCATGTGTATGTTGGGAGCGATCAGGCGTCTCTAGAGATGCCCAATCGCTTGAATGTAAACAGCCATTGCCGGCTGTTTACATTTCTAACAGTTTCCCCACTCGTGTGAGCGCTGAGCACCGCACACGAGCAGGGAGAGGGGCAGGACGTCTTAAGACGCCCTCCCGCTCCTATAAGGCTCCCGCCCGGCCGTTTAGGAACGGCCATGGACGGGAGGTGGTTAAAAACATAGAGGGGAATTTATCAAAACTGGAGCAGACAAAATCTGGAGCAGCTGTGCATGGCAACCAATCAGCTTCTCTCTTTCAATTTCAAACTTTAACTGAACAAACTGAAGAGAGAAGCTGTTTGGTTGCCATGGGCAACTGCTCCAGATTTGGTCTGCTCCAGTTTGGATACATTCCCCTCACAGTGCACCTTTTGCAGGAATTTTGATAAATGCCAATTAATAAAATTGAAAATCTGGATCTAACACAGTTTTTGTTGTTCTGCATTGCAGCCTTGATCAGTGCATTGTGAGTGCAATGCACAGGTTCTGCACACTGTCACCCCAGCTCCAGGGTACAGAGGTACAGAGCTTTGGTTACAGCACTGGGGGGAAGTATAATGCAGTGACATCACTACACTTGTGTTCTATTGAGATCTACGAGGCCCTCTGCTGCTTTCCATTCACAGAACCCTATGCATGGATTTGTGAATGGATGACTGAATTCAAAACAAAACAGATGTCTGCAGGGAGAAGAAACCCTCTGTGGAATGTGACCATGTTTTATGTCACATCCTAAATGATACATTGAGGTATCTGTTGCAAACCATACAGCAATGGAGACTGTTGATAATGATGGTGGGTGCTCGTAGTGATGTCCACGGATGGCGCCGTGCGAATCCAAAGTAGATCACCAGCACACAGGGGATGACACAAGCATGTCATAAGTGTTAAGGCCGTGACACACTGCACGCGAAGCAGCGCGGAGCGGGGGCGCGCTGCCTTTGCGAGCAGTGTGTCATGTAATTTTCTGCTCGGCACCTCAGCTTGCGAGAGCTCGCGGAGCTGAGCGTGCCGAGATGAACAATTTCAACTTCAGCCAATCGGCTCGCGCGTATAAACCGGCGCGTCGCGATGCGACAGCTGGCAGGTTGTTACGGACGAGCCGATTGGCTGAAGGTGCTGTCAATCATCTGACTGCACTCAGCTCACACACTGCACGCAAAGCTTCGTGCCGGATACCTTTGCAGTGTGTCACGGCCTTTAAGGAGCCAACGTTTCGGAACCACACAGGGTCCCTTCATCAGGGCAAACATAGTGACAACATATTGAACATAAAGTGCTTATATACTGTATGTGCACTGTTCTGTCTGAAGTCTACCAGTTCTTAACCACTTGCCGTCCGCCCGTTGTAAAAAAACGGACGGACGGACGGCACTGCAGCATTGGCGGGTTGCCGTCTCCAGGCGGCATTTTTTTCTACTCGCGCACGCCCCCTAGCGGGCACGCACGGGCAGAGAAGACCCGACCAATGCAAACACCTGTTACCGGGTGTTTCACATATAGACGATCGGCGGCTCCATAGCCCGCCGATCGTCTATATGTGCTCGTTTTTTCGGGGACCCTTTTTTGAGCGGATTTAGCCGCGATTCAAGCTTGCTCAATGCAAGCTTGAATGCGACATCGCGCCGTCAAATTTCGCGATGTCGCGCAATATGCAAATGCCTCACCCACCGGTGGACAGCCAATGGGAATCCAAGTAATAGAAGATGGACAGCTAACTAAGATGTGTCTGCTCAATTTTTATTAATATATATATAAAGCACTATATATAAAGCACCAAGTTGGGCCCTCAGATGATATTAAAAACAGGCATGATTCTGTGATGATGAACATCACTGCATGGGCTCAGGAATATTTCCAAAATTCACTGTCTCTGAACACAGTTTGCCGTGCCATCCAAACATGCCAGTTAAAGCTCTATCGTGCAAAGAAGAAGCCATTTTTGAACATGATGCACAATCCTGCCATCTGCTCTGGGCCAAAGTTCATTTAAAAAGGTCCGTTGTAAAGTGGAAAACTGTTCTGTGGTCAGACAAATCGAAATTTGACTTTCTTTTTTGCAACCATGGGCACCACACCCTGTGGACTGAAGAGGAGAAGGACCTTCCGACTTGTTATCAGCGCTCAGTTTACAAGCCTGCATCTCTTATTGTATAGGGGTACATTAGTGTGTATGGAATGGGTAGCTTGCACATCCAGAAAAGGCACCATCAATGCTGAAAGATATATCCAGGTTTTAGAGCAGCATATGCTCCTATCCAGGCTGCATCTTTTTCAGAGAAGGCCTTTCATATTTCAGAAGGAAAAGTGCAATGCTAAATCGCATACTGCATCTATGACAATAGCATGGCTTCATAGTAGAAGAGTCCAGGTGTCTGCAGTCCAGGCCTTTCACCAATTGAAAATCTTTGGGGCATCTTGAAACGAAAAATACAACAAAGAAGAACCAGGACTGTTGAGCAGTTAGAATCCTATATCAGGCAAGCATGGGACAACATTCCTCTCCCAAAACTCCAGCAACTGGTCTCTCAGTTCCCAGACATTTACAGAGTGTTATTAACCACTTGCTGTCTGGAGCAACTTCTTACTATTTGCACACACATGATATATTCTGAATTTATGGGTAAAATATAAAAGACGGGATCACGTCGGGTAAATAGATACCAAACATGTCAAGCCTTAAAATTGCGTTCGCCCGTGAAGCTGCAAAAAACTTCAATACCCAAAATGTCCCATAGGGGACACTTTAAAAGCTTTAACCGCTCATCAGTTTAGTGCTAACAGTGATTGATGGCACAAGAATTATTGCTCTTACTCCAACTTTTGCGGCGATATGTAACATGTGTAGTGCAATTTTCGTTTTTGCGCGTAGGTGCACCGACACATGTTTGCGTATGTATGTGCTTGCACGTGGGGGGACTTATTTTTTTTTTGCATTTTTTTTTCTTATTTGTTACTTT